TCATTTTGCCTGGTGTCTTATGCTCTGCTCATCTCTTTGGATGAGGGCCCTCCCCTTCCCTCCCCTCCCCGCCCTCCTCTCCTCCCCGCTTCCCAGCCCACATGGCTGGCCTATCTTCCCTTGGGTGCTTCAAAACACCTGAAGCATACCTAAGTCAGTCACACAATGCTCCTCTTCACCCCTGGCCAGTGCCTGTCACTCAGCAGCCCGTGTTCCCATGTGTCACGAAAGCCAGGGCCCCCTCACCAAGAACCACCCTCATGGCCCTCCCCTGCTCGCTTAAACAGCCCTGGTGTTTTTAGTCTCCCTGTCAAGTTCTTCCAGAACCCATTCTCTTCTTTCCACCTGCATTGTCCTTCCTTGTCCCTGCCCAGGCCAGTCCACAGCAGCCAGAGCAACACAATCAGCACCCGGGCCCTGGGTGGCCTCCCTCTGTCCCTAGAATAAAGAAGAAGACCCCCTCACCATCCTCACCACACTTCCTGGTTCTCTGCCTCTCCTGCTTAGGCCTCCCTAGTGGCTGCCACTATACCACTCTTGACTCCCTGCCAATTCTAGAATATTCCCTGGTGTCCCTGCCCTCCCTGAGGCCTGTGTTTGTGCTGTTCCCACTATACCCAACGTGTCTCTCCCATACACTGGTTAACTCCTTTTTTTGTTGTTGTTATTGGTTAGTTTGTGTTGAGGATCTTGCTTTGTAGTCTAGGCCAGCCTTGAACTTACTTGTAGTCTTGTCCAGTCTCAAACTCACAATCCTCCTGCCTCTGCCTCCCAACTGTTGGGATTACAGGAGTGTGACACCATGCCTGGCCCCACTGGTTAACTCTTTCATGTTGACCTTTCCTTGGGAAGCCTCTTGAACCCTCTGGCCTGGGTATGGATAGCACTTGGTTGTTGCACCTAAGTGACTTAGAGGTTTGGTCCATAGGGTGGTGCTGTTGGAGTGTAGGGGGGTGTTGGAACTTTCAGTGGTGGGGCCTAGTAGAAGGTCTTTAGGCCATGGGGGCATGTCCTCCAAAGGGATTCTGGGCCCCCAGACCGGCCTCCTTTCTCTGCTCAGGTTGGAGATGTGACTGATTCATAATGCCACCATGTTCCACTCTCATAGAACAGAGCTGATGAGGGCACTGGCCTTCGTACTGAGAGCTAAAGGAACCTTTTCTCTCTAGAACGGCCTTGCAATGCAGCTGTACAAAGCTGATTAGTTCACCGCATATATAACTTGTAAATTGAGTCCCCTCTCTCTCTCCCAGCACTGTCTGCTCTATGTATTTATTCATTTATTTATATTTACTTTTTATTATAAATTAATAAATATACATAGTGGTTACAGTTATATGTCACATAAAGAGTACATTTCTTTCTGGACAATGTCACCCCTTCCCTCTCTCTCTCTCTCTCTCTCAGTTGTCTGTTCTTTCTTGCTAGGCCTGGGCATTCCTATAAATTTTCACTAATTCATCTCATTTGGTTGTTGTCTGCTCCATGGCGATATCACTAGAGTGGCCATGCCCAGCATACGTGGGTCCTCAGGAACTATTTGCTTGCTGAACAAATACAAGTTATCCCATAGGTAGTGGTCCTGGGCCATATGGTGTCCCATGGAATCTGACCTCAGGTGGAAAGGTCCCTGGGGACCGGCTCTGTTCTATCCTAGGACACCGGTGGGGACTGCTTAGAGTCTGGATAACTTCTGTCTCCAAAGCACACACAGAAAAAGAAAACCTTCTTTTCCACCTTTTCTTTGTAAGGAATCTGCATGGAAAAAAAAAAAACAAACCCCAAACTATGGTCTTTATAAAAATGAGTTGGCCTTGGGGAAGTTATTTAAGGAATTCAAACTTGGAGGGTAAAACTTACCTTTTCCCTTTTTGAAAAAAAAAAAGAAAAGAAACACCTCAAACCTCTCCCCCCAAAAAGGAAAGCCCATTATTTTTTTAAAGATGTTGGATTTATGCAAATGCCAAAAGTGTCACCTGCCTGGGAATGCTGCTGCATGCTGGGGCCCCTGTTCTCCATGAGGAAGGTGGGTTTTCTAGGTACTGGTTCTCTAATACTGGAAATATCCGCAGATTGTTTCTTGGAGCCTGATAGTTTTCACTGGGACGCACCATGTGTGAGTGTATCATGTGCATACTTGAGACCTGGACCCGGATACCCACAACTAGCCCACTGCTTTCCTCAAATCCCGTCCTCCAACCCATCAGACACTGTCTGCATTCCTGGGTGTGGCAGGGGGGGTAAGTTGTCAAGAAATCTGGAGCAAGCTGGGTACAGTGGCTTATACTTGTAATCCCAGTAGAGATCAGGAGGGTCACAGTTCAAGACCAGACAAGGCAAACTGTTAGCAAAACTCCCATTCCAACAAACAAGCCGACTGAGAAGATGCATGCCTGCAATCCCATCCGGGCGGGAGACATAGATAGGAGAGTTGTGGTCCCAGGTTAGTAGACAAATATGCAAGACTCCAACCTGAAAAAAAAAAAGATTAACAAGCTCTAGCCTGAAAGAAAAGATTAAGGGTGTGGGAGTGTGGTTCAAGTGGTAGAACACCTGCCTAGCAAGCCCAAGGTCCTGAGTTCAAACTCCAGTACCACAAAAATAAAACCCAGGAAACTATGGCCACATTGATGCATATTTCTGTCACAGACACCCTGTTTGCCCGTGTCTGTTGGATAGTGACTGCAGATCAGCTGATGTCTAAGAAGTGGGGACAGAGAAGCAGCAGTGTGGGGGATGGAGATCTTTCCATGAAGTGACAGCTCCACGACCCCCAAGATGGGGTCCAGGCGGGTGTGTCTCTGGCCCAACCCCTGGTGGGAGTTCCATGGCACCTGTGGCTTCTGAGTTGAAGCAGGCAGGTAACTGGTAACCAGGCACACTGGGCAGGGGCTGCGGTGCCCTGGCTGGGCTTGGTGTAGCCAATGGGGAGCGCCTGGAGGGGCCAGGAAGTCCCAGGTGGCAGCAGCTGGCACCTTTCACAGGGAGAGCGACCCACACTCAGCTTTCCAGCCCGAGGAGAAGCATGTGGCTTTCCTATTTCTTACCTGTGCAGAAAGCCACCCAAGCTTTGTGGTTTAAGCAGCAGACTTCGTGCACCATCATGTTTAATATCTGCCCCTGAATTTAATCATCTGACAGCTAAATGCCCATCCTCCGGTGTTGGGATTTACAACCAGATTCCCAGCAAGATATAGACATTCTCCAGGCATTATGGAGCTGTCTGCCCCCTCCCTCCCTCCCTCCCTTCCTCTCTCCCTTCCCTCCTTCCCTTCCTTACTCTCTCCCTTCCTTCCTTCTCTTCTTCCTCCTCCCCTCTTCCTTCCCTCCCTCTTTCCTTCCTTTTCTTCCTTCCTCTCCTTTTCTGCTTTGCCTTCATTCTGTTTTTCCTTTTCCCCTTTCCTCCTTCCCCTTCCCTCTTTGCTTCCTTTCTTCACTTCCTTTGCTTCCTTTCTTTTGCCAGTACTGGGTTTTAAACTCAGGGTCTTGGACTCAGCCTTGCTTGCTCAGTAATACCCCCTCGGGCCACACCTCCAGCCCTGCTTTTTATTGGGTATTTTGGTCTTACAGATTTTTGGCCCTAGCTGGCTTTGAACTATGATCCTCCATATCTCAGCCTCTTGAGTCACTAGGATTTCAGGTGTAAGCTATGGATCCTTTGCTAACAACTCCTTTTCTTCTCTCTCTTTCTCTCTCTTTCCCCTTCCTCCCTCCCTTCTTTCCCCCTATTCCTTCTTTCTTTCCCCTTCTCTCCTCTCTTCCTCTCTCCCTCCCTCCCCCTACCTCCCCCCTCCCTTTCCTTCCCCTCCCCTCTCCTCTTCTTTTCTAGTCTGAGAGCTTGAACTCAGGGCCTGGCACTGTCCCTGAGCTCTTTTTCACTCAAGGATAGTGCTCTACCACTTTGAGCCTCAGCGCCACTTCCACTTTTCTGATTGATTGTATATAAAAGTCATGTGGATTTTCCTGACCCAGCTGGCTTCAAACTGTGTTCCTCAGATCTCAACCTTCTGAGCAGCTAGGTTTATAGATGTGAGCCACTGGCGTTCACCTTGCAATTATATTCTTATATTAGTTCTAATTTACCCTTGCATGACAGTAGGTGGCTTTAAGAGACGCAGTTACACTCTTCTCGTCCACAGGACCTGTGCCTATGGCAGACACCAGGGCCGTGCAGCAGGGTGGTGGGCGGTGCGGCAGGGTGGTGCAGCTCCTGCGGTGTTAGTATCTGTGCTCACTGTTGGATTCAGGGGACATGCAAACTTTCTAATTAGTATTTAGGCCTCAACAGTTCACAGCAGTAAACATTTTATGATCTGGTATGATTGAGAATCATATGCACACATGTACACACATCCATCCATCCATCATGTACACATGTACACACACACACACACACACACACACACACACACACACACACACACACACACACACACACACACACACACACACACACACACTGAATCCCCCTCCCTAAGAGGAGGAAAGAACAAATTCACAACTTAGCCTGGATCAGTGCCATGTTTTTAAAAAAAATCATTCTGTTATTTTCTTTGTACTCCTTTTGTATTTCAGTGTTTTTCCATTCCTGCTTTTCTGTGTGCCAATGAATGTTTCTTCACCGGTGACTCTAAGCATGGGTGCTGGTTGGTCAGCCTCCCCAGGGATGGGGCTGCACTGTTCCAGTTGTTCTAGGGGAGGGGAGGAGTTGTGTGGGGGAAGGGAGGAGCCCCTTTCTTCCCTGGGCGGGCTTCTTCTCTCCAGCCCCCTGGCTGTGTGCTTCTGGAGGGTATAGTCTGTGTGAGTCCTGTTTTTCTCTTGACTGGGAGGATGAACAGTGGCAGGGAGCCCTATCTGGCCTCCTGCGCCCTTTCCCTGGGTGCCAGTCTTAGCTGGCTCGGGTCAGAGCTTGGCTCTCTTGGGAAGGCTCCTGGAAGGCCTCCTGCAGAATGTTTGGTGAAAAGCACCAAGATCGCACAAACGTCTCCATCATTTTCTAGAAAAGAAGCCGGGAAAGGACAGGCCACCGTCGAGGGACTGGCGGGAGCGGAGGAACGCCATCAGACTCACACAGGAGCACACGGTGGAGACGCTGGTGGTGGCAGATGCCAACATGGTGCAATATCATGGGCCGGAGGCCGCCCAGAGGTTCATCCTCACTGTCATGAACATGGTGAGTGGGGTTGGGGATACCAACGCCCAGAAAACAGCCCCAGCATGTCCCTGTTCCCAGGGAAATACCTGCAGGGGTCAGCCAGGGACTATCCTACAGTATTCTAGCTTTGTGCAAGGGCAAAGCTGAGCCAGACAGGAAGTGCTGCCATGGCAACCACCATTCCACTTCCTGCCCATGAATGTGGGTACTTAGACACCTCAAGCAGTAGTTGTCTTTTGTTGTGGCTGGCTGATTTCCTGCCATACAGTCCTCAAGGTTTACTCATGGTGTGACCTATGTCAGTATTGTCTTCCTTTTGAAGGGTGAGTAATATTTCAGGCATCATGCTTTGTTGTACTGGGACATCAGTGCATACCATTAGGTTCCTTCTATCTTCTGGGTGATGCTGGGGTTTGAATGTTGGTTCTTCATGATTCAGGTGCTGGAAGTTAAACCCGCAAGTTCATCTGTGGATGTTTTTTGGAAGATGAGGAAGCCACATGGGTGGAGCCACCATCATGGTATAAGAACTGGAAGAGCCAGCACCTGGCGGCTCATACTTGTAATCCTAGCTACTCAGGAGGCTGAGATCTGAGGATCACATTTCAAAGCCAGCCTGGGCTGGAAAGTCCATGAGACTCTTTTTTTTTTTTTCTGTCAGTCGTGGGGCTTGAGCTCTGGGCCTGAGTGCTGTCCCTCAGCTCTTCAGCTCAAGGCTAGCATTCTACCACTTGAGCTGCAGCGCCACTTCCGTTTTTCTGGTAGTTTATTGGAGATAAGGGTTTCACGGATTTTCCTGCCTGGGCTGTCTTTGAACTGAGATCCTCAGATCTCAGCCTCCTGAGTAGCTACGATTACAGGCATGAGCCACCGGTGCCTGGCTTTCCATGAGACCTTACTCTTTGTCTCCACCAGAAAACCGGATGGAAATGATGCTGGGCTCAAAGTGGTAGAGCACTAGCCCTGAGCAAAAAGTGCTTAGGGAAAGCATCCAGGCTCTGAGTTCAAGCACCACCCCACAACTGACAAAAGAAAATAAAACCTGGAAGAGACCTGAGCTACTAAGCCTCTGTGTCTCTCCATGTGACACCATCACTGGCCCTCACCCAGGCCAGGCTGATGCTACACTAGCTCCTGGCCTGGTTAAACTTATATTCTGTATAAATGACCCATGCTGTGGTGTACAGTTAGAGTAGTGCAAAACAGATCGAGACAACTAGTTGGGAAGATGGTGCTATGAACACGGGTGTGGGAATATCTGTTTGAATCCAGGCTTCCAAATTGTTTGGGGGTATACATCCACAAAATAGCTTTTGTTAATAGCTTTATTTTTTTCTTTGGGTGGTGCTGGGGTTTGGACTCAGAGCTCTACTGCTTGAGCTGTACCTTCAGCCCTTTTGTATCTGGTTCTTTTTAAAACAGGGCTCCATTGTTTGACTAGGATGGCCTAGTCCTTGGTCCTCCTATTTGTTTCCCACTGTGGAGGCGTGAGCCTCCACAGGCCCAGCTCTTTCTGTTGAGCTGAGGCCTCACAAACATTTTGCCTGGGCTGACCTGGAATTTCATTCCTTCCCATCTCAGCCTCCCATGTACTGGGATGAGAGGTGCATGTCACTGTACCTAGCTACTAACTGAGGTGAAATCTTGTAAACTTTTTGCCCAGGGTGGCCTTAAACTGTCATCCTTCGCCAGCGCTGCTTTTGTAGTGGCTGGGATTACAGGTGTGAGCTGCTGAGCTCAGCTTTTGGTTAACTTATAATGGTATTGGACCCTGGTTTCTCAACTGTTCTGGTGTTCTTCATTTGTATAAGCCCAGGTCTTCCTGGCCGCTGGCTGACGATGGGCTGCTCTTTCTTTCCAGAGGAAGCCCACGGGAGAGCTAGGGGAGGGGAGGGAAGGGGAGCAAGGAAGGGTAGGGCTGGTTCTGCCACCAGCCTCCTCCATTGCAGTTAAACTATGCAGGGCTTAAGTGCACAGAATAAACATTCGTCACATCCACCAAAGCCTCGACCTGGATAGTTGCTTTAGTACTTACCTGGGCACACAGAGGCCTTTCATCACAGTGGAGGGAGGAGCAGAAGATGGTCCACAACATTCCCTGCACCTTCCACCCCATGTGGGCTGTGGGGACTGCAGGAGAGGACAGCAAGCCCCACGGCCTCCAGGTCCTGCCGCTGTGGGCAGAGTTGGGCCACCCACAGTACACTGGGTGTGGGGTTACCACTGTATATGTGACGCAGGCCCAGGACACAGCCCCACAGCTTCATGTGCTTGGGATTTCTGGGCTGACCAAGGCCAAATGTGAATGCAAGCAGGGCCTCTGGACCCCATCTCCTCACCCCAGTGACATCTCCCTCCCTTCTAGACCTGGAAAAGCAGGTGACCGGCAGCCACCCTCCTTCAATCCCCTAAATCCAGAGTTAGGACATCCAAAGATTTCTCTCTTGCTTGGGGTGGTTCCAGAGGAGACAATGGCACAGCCGGAAGGGGCTGGCCAGGGAATGGGCCCTGGATTGTGGCCCTGACATTGGACCCGCCCCCACAACTGGGCAAACAGGAGCAGGACGGCCGCATATGGCTCCCTCTCTAGGATGAAGGCAGCCGGGTCTCCCAGCCCTTCTGGCTGGGAACGGAGTCTTGCAAGGCCAGGTACCACCATCTTTCTGACATATCTGGCCTTCGGTGGCAGGGGCCGGTGTGCATGCTCTTCTGCCTTCCTGCTCCCCTGGGTACAACCCAGGTAGGCTCACGCTTTGTCCCCCACAATGGGGGGGCAACCCTGTGCCGATTGTGCGTCCCATGTCAGCATCGCCCAGGGGCCTGGTGGACCACCTGAGGGAATGAGGAAGGAAAGAAAGGGGTGCTCAAGATGCCCAGCCCTGAGTTTAAGATGCTGCTTTGCACCTCTGCCACAGCCCTCACCATCCCCACTAGATTTTCTCATTTGAATTTTATAAGGAAGGAAACGGTGGCTCTGTGTGTGTGTGTGTGTGTGTGTGTGTGTGTGTGTGTGTGTGTGTGTGCGCGTGTGTGTGGTGGTGACAGTGTGTGCATGACAGAGGTAAGGACTCTAGCCCAGAGCTCCCGTGTGGACTTGCATTGCTCTCCTTCTCCTCTCTGGGCTGATGGCCACTGTCTTGGACTAGATAGCTCTGGGGCTTGAACTTAGGGCCTGGGCACTGTCCTTCAGCTTTTTTGTTCGTGGCAGGCACTCTACCACTTGAGCCACAGCACCACTTCCAGCTTTTTGGTGGTTAATTGGAGATTAGCATCTCATAGACTTTCCTACCCAGGCTGGTTTTGATGCTTGATCTTCAGATCGAAGCCTCCTGAGCAACTAAGGATTTTCAGGCATGAGCCTCTGGTGCCTGGCCACAGCAGGAGTGTTTTAAGGAAGAAAACTGCAGATGGAGACAGGTGTTGCAGACAGTGGAAAGCCTGGGTTTGGGCCGTGAGCTTGGAAAACAGGACCACTCAACAGACTAGGGTCGTTCTCAGCTTCCTTGACAACCATGCTGTGGAATGAAAACCCTGGAAGTGCCAGGCAGGCTCTGTTTAGAGGAAAAGCGTCATGGATTCCACTCAATTAGCATATGAAACAGACAATAAGTCTCTCTCTGGTGAACCCTGAGAGTAGTATAGTATTAGGGTACATACCGGTTTCTTATATTCCAGTGGGTGTTGCAACCCCAGACTTGTTTATTCAGAGGGTCTGATGTGTGCATTTCCAATGGTGCTGGGGACCCCCCTCCCCCAGGCACTGTGCCTGTACAGGAATGTTGCCCTTCCTGTTTGGGAACCTGGGAGCTTCTGGCCACCCCTTGACAGGCTCTGGGTCACACAGGTAGGTGGTGTCCTTAGGAAAGTCCTGCCTATCCAGGTGAACAGCTCCTCCCCTCCTGTCCCCACCACTTGGCTCCTTCTCTGGTCCCTGTCTGTTGTGCTGCCCTTTCCCCGCATCTCCCCGCTGAGAGCCCTAGTACACATTCAGCAGTTGGTCTGCCTGCTCCACACCCAAGATGCCACAGAAATATGACCAAGGCAGCCAGAGCTGGGTACTGGAGAGAATTTTCCAGATGCCTACTGTACTGTTCCTTGCTCAAGAAGGTGTCTCTGGGACACTGTGTGGCTTCTGCCTCCAGGATGTCCCTTGCGCATGACTTCCTACGGGGAAAGGGGGCTTGGGTCACACAGCTTTGAGATTTGTTTCTTATGCCTTACAGCAGTGGTGAGAGGTGGTATGGCTCGTCTGGCCTGGCAGAGGGGCCTCAGGACCCCCCGTGCACCCACACCGCCTCACCCTGTGTGCTGAAGAGCTTTGTCAGAGAGAGGGCGGCACATAGCAGCTTACCCATGGGGCCAGGCTCCTAGACCTGCTCTCTGATGGGAGTTTCCTTCCTGCAGGCTTGCTGGACAGTGTTTATTGAGAGAGGATGCTTTTAAAAGTTTAGTTATGCCGGGTGCCAGTGGCTCACACCTGTAATCCTAGCTACTCAGGAAGCTAGGATCTCAGTTCAAAGCCAGCCTGGGCAGGAATGTCGCCAGTTAAGCACCACAAAACCGGAAGCAGTTCTGTGGCTCAAGTGGTAGAGTGCTAGCCTTGAGCTGAAGAGCTCAGGGACAGCGCCCAGGCCCAGAGTTCAAACCCCAAAACCGACAAAAACAAACAAAAAACCCCATAAAAACAAGCAACAACAACAACAAAAAACTTTAGATGTGACCACTTAGGCATCACAGAAAACTGAGTAGCATTTTATTTATTTATTCTTTATTTATGCTTGAACTCAGGGCCTGGGCACTGTCCCTTAGCTTTTTTGCTCAAGGCTGGTGCTCTACCATGTGAGTCATACCTCCACTTGTAGCTTTTTGCTAGTTAATTGAAAATAAAAGTCTCCAGATTTTTTTCTGTCAAGGCTGGTTGGCATCAAACTGTAATCCTCAGGTCTCAGTGTCCTGAGTAACTAGGATTATAGGCGTTAGCCACCCGTGCCTGACTGTGATGTAATTTCTTTAAATCTACAATAATCTTACCATCTTTAATATTCAAATAGGGTGGGTATTCCAGGCATTTTTTAGTTGCTTTATTTTTTTATTTTTATAGGTGTTGGGATTTGTACCTGGGGCCTTTTGCTGTTTCCAGCCCCGCCACACAGTCTAGCTTTCTACCAAAACCCTTGTGTAGCTTGAATTTTCTCCCTCCTGACTTCTCCATTCTTTTGAATTTTTGAGTTTGGAAGTGGAATTTGCCAGTTTGGGCCCACTCATCATGTTAAATATTTGAACTGGAGCCATTGGGTGGTTCTAGAAATATCAAAGCAAGCAAAATAAAATCAAATCTGTGTGTGTTCCGCCTTCCTCTGACATAGGAGATAAGAAAACCATGACTTCAGAATTGGCCATAGGTTAATCCAGTATTTAAAAAGAATTGTATGTAACTCTTGAGGAGAGGAAATTTGGAGACAAGAAAGTGAGATCACACCAAGCGAATGTGTTCTTTTTTTTTTCCTCAAGGCTATGAATATTAACTCCCATAAAGATGGATCCTTATTAAGCCTCAATCACAGTGTTCAAAGAGGGAAATCCAAGCTGTAACCCAGCTACTTTGTTGTCACAGAGATGCTTCAAGGCTATGCCTGTCCTGCAGGCTAGCTACTCAGAGTCCTCCTCCATCTCCACTTGGAGCTGGCCCTAGATCCCCAGCCCAGAGTGGCCATTCCTTTCCCAGTTGCTGTATTGGTAGTGGGAGCAGGGTACCAACAGGAGAAAGTTTAATGCCTTTGGTGGAAAATTCTCCCTTGTGGATTAATGTCTATGAGTAAAACTCAAGTAGAACATTCCAAGTCTCATTCCTCTTCCTCCATATCCTGTCACTACCATTTGAGCAACTTCCCAATGAACCTCTTGAGCCCTGAGTTGTCTGTATTTCAGAACAGGAACTCAGGAAAGCTGTTGTGCCCCAGATCCTCAATCCAACAGGCTTTCATTGCTTATGTTCTATCTTATTTGAGTTTTCTTTTTTCTGTCCCCTTTGGACGTATTTCCTAAGCCTTCTTGATGTTGAGGGCTTGCTAACAGTAAATTCTGCCAACAAGTGACATGTATTAGTTTTATGTTACTGTCACAAAATACCCAAAGCAAGTAGCTTATAAAAAGTTTTATTGAGTTAAAAGTTTTGGAAGTTGAAGGCCAAGATCGGGCAGATTCATTGAGTCAGACTCTAGTTGAAGGCACCAGATGGTATGGCAAGAGCAGAGCATCGAAGAAAGTGATTATGTCATGAGCCAAGAAATGAGTGAGCAAGTGGGGGGGTCTCTTAGCTGCCTCCATTAGGTTTCTTCTGAAAGTTCCTACCACCTCCCAATATCACCACCCTGGGGTCTGACCTTTATCAACCAACACTAATAACCACACTGTCACAAGGGCACAACTGAGAAGAACATGTTTTGCTGTGACGGTGATTTATCTTAGTGGCACTCTTTGGTTAGCATAAGGACTTCAGAGAATGAATGAGGAGGTAGGTGCTTTGGCTAGTCAAAACCCAGGTTTGAATCAGGTCATTGTTGACCTGATGGATTTATCCCCTTGAGCTTTTCCCCCAGTGAAGATGGTAGTGATGGTTAGAGATGTCACCACTGGCACATGATGGCTGACTCTCTGATGGGGAGTGTGGGAGTTTCTGCCAGGATCATCTAAGATCCATTTCTTCTTTTCCAAAAATCACCTGTCTCACACAGGTGGCTTATAAGACCAATTAACGAACTTTCAGCTTACCTTTTTGGGGAAGGGGAGGAGAGAGAGAGATGGAAAGACAGGGAGAATAAACATAATTTCACAGTTTCTATGACTCTACCATTTTTAGTCTCATAATTCTGGGGGAATTTTAACAGTTCCTTGATCTCAAAAACTTTTAAATAAAACCTGGGTTTTATTTCTCATATGGGTGGTTACTTTTGTTTTGGGGTTTTTTTGGTTGTTTGTTCCAATAAGACCTTCCCCATGGGTACTGAAAGTTAAATACGTACATTTACTATTTTTTAGTTTTTCTAGTACAACAAGAACTCCAGCTACATTCTAATACTAATTTTAATGTGCTGTTTTTGTTAATAGTATTTCAGAATAGTTTAGATTTCCAGAAAAATGGAGCAGATAGATGGAGAATTCTCATACAGTTTCCCCTATTCTTAGTATTTTCTTAACATTAATATTACAATTGGTGGGTCATTACAATATGATTCTGCCCACAGATATCCTTAGTGTTTTTTTTTAACCTAGTATTGTTTCTCTGTTCCCAATCTCCATCCAAAATACCACTGGATAGTTTTTAATTGTATATTTTTCTCTCTCTCACCATAGGTTTACAATATGTTTCAGCACCAGAGTCTTGGAATCAAAATCAACATTCAAGTTACCAAGCTTGTTCTGCTCCGGCAACGACCTGTAAGCCCACCATCCTGGCCGCACCGAAAGCTCTCAAAAGCTTCCGTTGTTGTCGAGTGCTGAGGAGGGGTCTTGGGGCCTGTATGCGTAGTTCCCCCTCCTGGCTTTGTCTGTGCTGAGTGTGTAAGAGCAGAGCAGATAGTTCTGGAACCGTGGTGTGTGCAGGAGGTTGAGAATCTTGAGGGAGCCCTGAGCTCGGGCACATGCCCTCTGCCCTCGAACATTTGTGTCCAGCTTCCCTGCATGCAGAGCTTAAGGAGGGCTTTGAAAGCATGGCTTCCTTCCTGGACCCTGTGCCCCCATTGCATTGTTTTGTGGCTATGGAGGGAGGAGCCAAGGTACCCTTGGCAGGAGATTGAGGAAATGTAGCTGGGTTTGGTCCATTGCTCTGTTATCAGAGAAGGACTGACTGGTCCTCAGTAACAGTCTTCAGGTGAAGACTGTTAGCCTTCTAACCTCAGGCAGCAACTCCTCAAATGCTGCCTGTGAGAAGCCATCTTCATCCTTCCACACAGTGGTCAGGATGGGAACTCGGGCTTCTCCGAGCCGTCTGCTTCCCTCACCGTCCCCCTCTGTGTCTCTCAGGCCAAGTTGAACATTGGGCACCATGGCGAGCGATCCCTGGAGAGCTTCTGTCACTGGCAGAATGAGGAATATGGAGGCGCGAGGTACCTGGGCAACAACCAGGTCCCAGGAGGAAAGGATGACACGCCCCCTGTGGACGCTGCTGTATTTGTCACCAGGTAAACATGGACATTTATCTTTTGAGAGAGTGGTGTTAGGAATTCCGGCTTGGACACAAAGTCTTTACCTACCTGTGGGGCTTCAAGGTTTCTTACCCAGTGGGGCTGAGAATTAAATGAGCAGTAGCATGTGAGAACTCATCCTAGTGCTTAGAATATAGTATTTACTGTTCTTATTCCTATTAATCTTAGAAAAGTAGGGATGATCTAATTCTAGGCCACCAATTTTCAAGGAATTCATCTCCTTCCCTGCATTAAAGAAAATACTAGTGGGGTACCCTGTGGCTCACGCCTGTAGTTCTAACTACTCAGGAGGCTGAGATCTAAGGATTTTGGTTTGAAGCCAGCCTGGGCTTCAAACAAATTCTTGAGGCTCTTAATCTCCAATTAATTACCAAAAAAGCTGAAAGTGGAAGTGTGGCTCAAATGGTAGAATGCCAGCCTTAGCAAAAAAAGCCAAGCCAGAGTCTTGGGTGCCTCAGTTCAAACCCCAGTTCCAACACACACACACACACACACACACACACACACACACACACACACACACACACACACACATCCCAAACAAACCATTGAGAGCTCATGTGATACAGCCACCCCACAATCAGGGACATGAGGGGACATATGTCCATCTATAGTCATGGAAGTTTCCATGTGGCCAGCCACAGGAGCAAGTAAATAAAATCAACTCAGACAGTGCAAGATTATTACCTGGTACCTGGAGGCATTTAAAAATACACAGTCTACAAAACGGTGAACTTGGAGTGAAATATGGCAGTCACAAGAAGACAACACTTGAATGATGCTACTTAATTCAAGGCATCTGGAGTAATGTTCATAGACGTACAGCAGAAGGCTGGTCACAGGGGGCCAGGGGAGGGGAAGAAAACAGAGAGCTGAGTTTTAGAGATGTTGGGAGAGCAGTTGCAGGACAGTGTGAATGCAGTTAATGCAACTGACAGTATATGGTACATTGGTACATTTTATATCCTATATATTTTACCTTTTTTGGGGTGGTACCTGGGCTTGAATTCAGGATCTGGACGCTGCCCCTTAGCTTTTTTTTTTCTTTCAAGGCTCCCAATTGAGCTACAGGCTCCCCTTTTTGGGTAGTTAGTTGGTGATAAGAGTCTCATGGACTTTCCTTACCCAGGCTGGCCTCAAACCATGATCCTCAGATCTCAGTCTCTTTAACTAGGATTACAGGCATTACAGCCACCAGTGTTGGCTAAGAATATGACTTTTAAAAAGGACTTTCTGTTGACTTCTTATGAATGTAATTCTTGGTCATGACTATATTTAAAAGGAGATACTGCCCGTGTAGTATAGCTTGCTAGAGAAGCCACTACAGGGTGATGGTATTGGCTGATAATTGTCTTTGAGCAATGCCTTGAAAAAAAAATACTCCAAAATTTCTTTTTCAGCTATTGGAAGTGTCCTGACCTCCTTACAGTTAGGTTATGGAATAGTTGAGCTGTAAGTGGAGCTCTTGCCCCTCAGCAATGGATGGGTGACTCTTGGCAAACGTTGTTACTTGTGATGCATTACTGTGACCTATGACAGCTAAAATGGTGCTGATAACTAACCAGAGTAAATTAAGGTGTTCCTCCCCCAGCCCCGTTTTTGGAGTCCCTCTTGCCTATGATTTTTTTGTTTTGTTCTTAGGACAGATTTCTGCGTTCATAAAGACGAACCTTGTGACACCGTTGGTAAGTTTAGAGTTCAAATAATGCCCCAAAGTGCTGATAGATCCTGAAAGATCTGTCTCCAAACTAGTTCAGTGTTTTCTGTTGCCTCTTTGGGAAAATATTTGGTTGACTCTATTTGACTTGTTTTTGTTTTTGGTTATATATTTTTTTCTGAAAAGTTTTGAAGTTGCTTCTGGTAGAGGCTTTTAGACAAAGAGGAGGTAGAGCCACCAGGCTTTTGTGTCCACAGCAGTGGACACGAATGAATTTGGTTCCAAGTGTCTTTATCCACAGGCAAAAGAGGATTCTTGTTGAGTGCCACAGCTGTTATCACGAGACAGAAAATGGTGTGTTGTGTTCTTGTGTGCAGATGTTCCTCACTGAGTGGCCTAAGACAACCCTATAGCCAGAATACCTGCTCCTCTACAAACCTGGCATGAGACTGGTCACTTTCTCACCTAAAAGCCCTGATTCTAACACCGGAACTCTTTCCTCCCTTCTCTTCCCCACCCTGTTCCCCAACTCTCCCTTCCTTTCTTTTTCTTTTTTTTTCCATTTTCTCTTGGCCCTGCCCTTGATTTCCCATAAGTTTCAAATGGAAGCTACTTTTTGGGGGTACAGGAAGAGAATATTTTGTTACTAGAAAAAATACTAAAAGCATTTCCAATTTTGCCTATCATAGCTGAAGCCTTTTTTTTTTTTAACATTTAATGACATAATAGTTGTACCAAATTGGACAGCCACTGGTCTCTAGCATACTTACCCTTTTGCCTGTTACTGTACTAGTATTTATGCTTCCATCTTCTGTGCTTTCTTGAAAGGTTTTATGAAAGCTTTCAATTTGAAAAATCCCATTTGCAGGTACCTAGCCATGAGGGTGCCGACTTTGGCCAGCTACATTATTGTACTTACAAAAAATATATACCATCTACTTAAAAGACTTACTAGCAAAGTACCCTCCAGTCGATTTTAGGGCATTGTGTCTCACAAATCCAGCTTGGATTTCCCTGCTAATAAACTTGCTGGGAAAGCAAAATATATATTCTTCAGTATACTAGTTCCTTCCCTCCCAGATGTGGCTTTAAACATTGATAGAAATGCCACTCAACTTGGATGTCAGAGTGAGTCTGGTTATAGAAGACCGCAGGGGCTGTTTTGTCCAAGGAGAACTAACAACAGGGTAGGTGGTCCTAGGGAGTTTCCTCCCTTCATTTCTTATGGTGGCCCTATACATGGCTTGACGATAGTGACTAGAATGAACGAAAACATAAATGAAATTTACATACTCATGTTTGTAATGGCATTATTTTCAGTAGCCCAGAGGTGGAAACACCACATATCCAGAATGAATGAATGGATGAATGGATAAACAAAATGTGGTATTCTCATCCAGTAGACTATTACTCAGTCCTATAATGAGCTGGAAGCATGGCTCAGCAGTAGGGTACCTACTCGTCAAGCACAGGGCCCTGTGCTCAGACCTTGTAGTTCTAAAACAACAACAACAACAACAACAAACTCCAAAACCAAACCAGAACAGAAATAGGAAATTCTGACAACTGCTTCATGGATGAGTCTTGAGGGCTTTAAGGTCTTGTAACAAGCCAGTCACCAGAGGGCAAATGCAGTCTGACTCCACTTTTGTGAAGTACCTAGAGTAGTCAAATTTATAGAGACAGAAAGTTGCACAGCAGTTCCTAGGGATGAGAGGAAGAAGTTCTGGTCCAATAGCTGTAGAGTTTCAGTTGTGTAAGATGTAAACTCTGGAGGTCGGTGGTAGGGATGGCTTACAAGATGTGCACATACCCTGTACAACGCTGAACTGTCCACCTAAAGTCATTAAGATGGTAAATTTTATGTAATGCATAGCTTGCGACAGGTTTTATATATATATATATATATATATATATATATATATATATATATAAATGACAGAGCAACTCAAGTTTTATCTTTGATTCTTTATCATTTCTTTTCAGACATTGGGACTGGAGAATAATCTTCAGAGGAGGGGATTCCCCCCCTTGGAAGGAGGAGTGGGGCGACCTCTGGGGTGGGATCTGGGCAGGGCAGGGAGGAAGGGGAAGAGCCTCTGTGGGATGGGAGAGGAAGTTGGGACCCAGAGTACAGAAGGGGGGAGGGGAGAGAGCGTTGTAAGGAGTGGGGCTGAAGCTGAATTAGTCCCCTAAGGTTCTGAAGGTCAGGCACCTGGCAGCGTGGGGGCTTTGCAGGTCTCTCTTTAGTTGCTAGGTTCTGTTACTTTGGTACTAGTCCAGGTCTAGATTGGCTCTTGGAGTAGCTGAGAATTACTGAAATTTCTCTTAATGTTTTGGGTCTGTGAGCAGTCCTCATCTGTGTCTGGCATTAAAATGACTACCTTAGTCTAGCCACAAGTTGATTTTCCCAGTGACTGCTCAAGCATTGGACTTGAAGTGGAAAGGCCTGGGGTCAGTCACACTGAAGCCATTGTGCTGCTGGGAATGAAGCACAGGTCAGGGGTGGGTGACCTGAGTCAGAGCTGCAGCTTGGGAAAGAACGCTGGTGGCCTGAGCGCCTCAGACCGGCCATCAGGCTCCTGCGGTCTCTGTGGGTTCAGTGAACTGAAGAACCCTCCGCTCCTCCTGGTGAAAGTAAAAGTTGGCTCTGAGTTTTTAACCTCAATTTCTTCAGCTAAGAAATGGGAGTGCTTCAGAAAGAGCAAGAAGGTTATGTCAGGGCAGAGACCAGATCTGGATCTATTATCCATGGCTTCAGTTCAAGCAACCTTTTCAATTACTGGGAGAGATGGTGGGGATCAGAAATTCCTGACAACTGATATGGAAAGATGAGTCATAGTTGGGGTAGGGCTGAGTCATGGTTGGGAAAGGGCTGAATTATGGCTAGGGAAGGGCTGAGTCATGGCTGGGGAAGGGCTGAGTGATGGCTGGGGAAGGGCTGGGGAAGGGCTGAGTCATGGCTGGGAAGGGCTGAGTCATGGCTGGGGAAGGTCTGAGTCATGTCTGGGGAAGGGCTGAGTCATGGCTGGGAAGGGCTGAGTCAGGCTGAGGAAGGGCTGAGTCATGGCTGGGGAAGGGCTGAGTGATGGCTGGGGAAGGGTTGAGTCAGGGCTAGGGAAGGGCTGAGTCAGGGCTAGGGAAGGGGCTGAATCATGGCTGGGGAAGGGCTGAGTCAGGGCTGGGGAAGGGCTGAGTCAGGGCTAGGGAAGGGCTGAGTCAGGGCTGGGGAAAGGCTGAGTGATGGCTGGGGAAGGGCTGAGTCAGGGCTAGGGAAGGGCTGAGTCAGGGCTAGGGAAGGGCTGAGTGATGGCTGGGAAGGGCTGAGTCAGGGCTGAGGAAGGGCTGAGTCATGGCTGGGGAAGGGCTGAGTGATGGCTGGGGAAAGGCTGAGTCAGGGCTGGGGAAGGACTGAGTCAGGGCTGGGGAAGGGCTGAGTGATGGCTGGGGAAGGGCTGAGTCAGGGCTGGGGAAAGGCTGAGTCAGGGCTGAGTCATGGTTAGGGTCTGACACTAACTCACTGGAGGGAGAATAACAGGGTAAAGACTGTCACCTGATATCCACTGACATGTTTTCCTCCCGGGGTGATTACATTTCTCAGCCTTCCTAGCAATCGCCACATGACTGCTTTCAGTGCCATGGAATGGGAGTGGAGGTGACGTGTGCTAGTCTAGGTTGACCCCATCTCAACTTATATTGAACCATGCTTGAAGCTCTTTCTTCACTGACTGACCAGCTTAGTCCATCCAGGGATTTAGCAGGCACAGTGTGTGAACCACTGGCTGCTGAATGGGTGGGGAAAAGAATATGTTGAGACACTAGGATTGGAGTTTTGTTGTGATTGTATGCGTGTCAATGATCAGAAATGCTGAAAGTATTATGAGTATTGAAAAGACACTTTGGATACTTGAGGTCTCAAAACTGTGACACCACAGTGTGACAGGCAGCCTCTCTTGGGGGGTGGGGGTGGAGGTGGAGGAGTCAAATGAGGCACAGAGCCTGAATTTTGAGAGCATTTCATTGAAAGATTAAAACGTAGTCTTAGACTTGAGGAGGAAAACATGGATGGTTTTAATTCCTTCTATCCATCCTGAGTTCATTGGCTGGGGCCACTCTGCAAATGAGACAGACAGAAACAAGAGTCCTGCAGATTAACGAGAGAAAAACAAATGGAAATGTACTATGTGCATGGCACACATGGAAATGACTCAGTCACTCACAGGGCGTTAGGAGCTTCTCACCATCTTGACAGAATTTGTAAGGTAACAAATTATGGGATGGTAAATGAAGTGTGGGGAGAGATTAATGGAAGATAGGGAGGACAAGCTAATCAATTTTATCATTAGATTGTCCCAAGGAGGCCCGGACTGGGGGGGGGGTCCAGACTTCATCCCCAAAGACAATTCCCCCAGATGCCTTCAGCTCAAAAACAGTCTTCCCTCATGCATTAGCTGGGGAAGGGGCACATATTCCCCAAAGAGTGTTTGTTATCCCTCTGCTCTGAGGGTTGGACCCTGATGAGATTTACCCCAAGTTCTTTGTGAAGTGTACTACGATAGCAGTGGCTTATGTCCTTGTCTTCTTGCTTCCAACCACACTGACTCACTTTCCCTCTACAACATCTGGCAGGGCAGAAAGCCTAGTGACTCATTAGATGTTCAAGCATGGATAAGATGCTAACCTCTGTAGCTCTAGGGTAATTCTCTGCTGGAGAGAGGTGTTTCATCATGGAGAGAGGTCCTTTATTGCTGGAGGGGGGGTCGCCTTCTTCACCTCCCCCCCCACAAAGAATGGTCCCTTCTTACTTCTCATTCCCCTTAAGTCTCCTGTTAGTCAAGGAATTGTGTCAGTCAACTTTCAGTTGCTGTGACAAAAATGCCTGAGAAAATCAACTTATAAAGGAGGAAAGGTTTCAGAGGTTTTAGCCCATGATCAGTTGGATCTATCATTCTTGGACCCTGTGGTGGCGGCAGAATATGGTAACAGGAAACCCACATTAATAACGAACTTGCGAGCTGAGCATGTGTT